TTCAGAATGAAAAATTGTATAGTCTGGCACTTTCCGTGGAAATCTCGTGAATAGTGTTTCTACCGGGTATTTTGTACTGCTGTTTAAGCAACCGGTAGAGTCCAGAAACAAATAATTGATGAAGTAAGAATAAGAAAGTCCAATATATGCCAAGCAAGTCAATATAGGCCCAAGAAAATGATAAGTTTATAAGTGTTAAGTTTCAGAATTAAATAAAGTACAGTTAGTGGTTCACAGTGCATTTCGTTAAAAACGGTGCAAAAATCATACTGTGAATTATGAATATTGTTACTTAGGAAATAAAAATTAATTTAAATGACTTTAGAAAAATAAAAATATATCTGTAGCTTTAAGTTACGTTCCGGGTCAATTAAGTAAAAATACGCGATAGAAAAACAACCGGGTAAAAGGGCCACATGTGCTTAAAAGCTTAAGTGACTCAAATGAGCACTATTCAAAATCAGCTCTCTCTCCTCTCTTCCTCAAAGAAGCCGAGCTGCACTTGGTGAAAAAGGGGGGGGTAGGGTTTGGTTCTTCATTTCTTTGATTCTCACTCAAAAGTTAACCAAATCACAAGTCCCACTACTTGAAATCGATGGGAAACCACCCAATGAGTCCATCCCACCCATTTATTTGAGCTATCATTGGTTGTGTGAGGAGATATTTCCTTCCCCAAATTCGTGTACTATTCATCAAGAGGGCAAAATGAAGTTTTTGATGGAGATTCTCTTGGTGTAGGTCTTCTAGGCTTTGGGTAGTTGATTTGAGGTAACAAACCTCTATTTCCATGATGTTGTTTTGATTATTTAAGTTATAAAATTGTGTATATGCCTTGGGTGGGAAAGCATGATGTGTTAAAATATGTATTGATGAGGAATAATTGATATTTTGATGTATAAAATGAAAATAAGCATTTGTATGTATGTAAAAAAATTAGAAAAAAATCCTATGATTTCCTCTACATGTTCGGCCATCATAGGTGAAGAGTAGGTTGTTGTGCAAAAATTTTATCTTAAGTATTAGGAAGGTTTAAGGTGTAGGAATTAAGTGGAAATTTGATAAATTAGTGAGAATGCCAAAGTGGGAAAAATTATATGAAATATGCCCTTAGGTTTAGGCCTTGTGGGGCTTTGGAGGGACTTTATGCTCAAAAAATTAAGTTGGAACCTTATGAAAACATGTATTTGTATGTGTAAGTTACGTGTAAGTGAAGAAAAAGAACCTTTGTCTATGTCCTTGTAGTGTTCGACCTAGAGGGTGGTATAGGAGTATATTTTGTTACATTTTATTGTAAATAAAATGTGTTGTCATTCATTGTATAAAATTGATGAGTTAAGAAGTGAAATGACTCGAAAAATGGTTGAAAAATACTTTGATTTCCTAAGGGTATGTCCGCGGCGTTTGAAGTAAAATGGCATGAATGATATTGAAAATTCTCAAGTGGATACTTGATTAAAATTAAAGAATGCTAACGAGTATAAGGTGGTCTAGACTTGTGTATTGGCATAACATTGGCAAAAGTATAAAGAAAGGAAAATAAGCGATAAAATGTATGCTTATGAAATAATCATGGCATAGTATCATCTTATTGATGCATTGTAAATTATTCTCTAGGTGTGCCTAGGGATTGAGAAGGATCGGAAATCTCTTGAAGCGATAAAAGTAACTTGGTCCACAAGTAAGCGTATTGGTAAAGCTTCCAGAGGTAAGCTCTAGGTTTAAGGAGTCTTTTCCTGCTTGAGTGCTCCACCATGGTTAGTGAACTATGGTTGGACTGTATGACTGTGATTTAGATACTTTGTATAGATGCATTCATATAGAGTTATTTGATAACATGATATGTTTTGCTCTGATATGACTTCTGTAATATGATTTCTGTAACAATCTCTGGCCATTGATTGTATAGTACCCGGACGTCCGCTTTGGGGTCCTCCCTCGGGACTGATGGTGTACGCCTCTGATATGTCTGGTTCCGCTTTGGGGTCCTCCCTCGGGAACACGTGCGTTGATTTCCGCTTGGGGTCCTCCCTTGGGAATGACGGCGCACATCTCTGATATGATATGGATATATGCTCTGTTCTGTTATGATATCTGTTATATGTTGTATTCGTATACTTTGTATCTGACTTTCATGCAGGAGTGAGCCAGGGGTATGGAGAATTCTCTATAAACCTGGAGCTTATTGAGATTTGTAATCTCACCCCTCTTTGGGGACACATTTTCAGGTGCCCAGATTCCCGGTGAGTCCTCACTAGGCAGAGACACGACACGTGGCTGAGGCAGTTGACAGATCGGATTTTGAGTGGCTGTAGGCTACTACCTTTTTGGAGTGTTTGATGTATTTTAGTATTTTCGCTTTTGATGGATCATGATATTGATCCTTTATTTTGTATATGGCCTGTATATGTTTTGTACACGTCTGTCGCTTTGATGCATGTACATTTGGGTATTCAGGCACGTTATGTGATGAGGTAGTATTCAGATATGTTTACGTGTTGGATTGAATGCGGTTAGATATAGTGGCACTGAGCCAAGTTATGCATGCGCCCATGGATGGGCATTTGATTATATTTGTATAAACTGTTTATCAGGAAATGCTTCTGTGTGGGATTGGAAAATCCCCAGTTGTCCGATTTATAGAGGAAACTCTGTCCGATTTTCGTTTACGACGAATGAGAATTTAAAAAGAAAAAGAAAAAGTTAGCTCGTATTTTCAGAAGTTAAGTCTTTCGCTGTTTTCTGTTTTATCATATGTATGTTAATTGAACCGGCTCGAGACGGGGATGTTACAGGCAGCATGCATATGAGTATCCATAGGATTAGATAAAAACTGACCCAATTGCTGAACTGCATAGCCTATGTCAGGGCGGGTGTTAGTAAGATAAAGAAGACGACCCACTAGACGTCTGTAACTCAAGGGATCATGAAAAGGAGAGCCTTGTTCTTTATGCAATTTGCAAGAGGAATCCATGGGTGTAGAAACTGCTTTTGAACCTAATAAGCCAGTATCAGCCATGATTTCAACAGCATATTTGCGCTGATTCATGATAATTCCTTTTGAAGAACGACAAATTTCGAAACCAAGGAAAAAACGTAAAGCCCCTAGATCTTTTATCTTGAACCGATCATCTAACTGGGCTTTCACATGTTCAATTTCTTTAAAATTATTTCCAGTAAGGACAATATCATCCATGTATACAAGTAATGCAGTAAACAGAGCACCATTTGGCTTAATAAATAAAGAGTAATTAGAAGGAGATTGAGTGTATGAGTAGTTGCAGTAAAAATCATGAAGATAATGAGGTTGATGTCGTGGTCTGGTTGAACGACGCATGGGTGGGAGGATATCTATTTGTGGATTTGGTGGGTTTGGATTATATGGATGTAACAAATCGAAGAAACCAATGGGTTGGTGGGTTCCAGGAATGAAAGTCTTACCATCAGATGCATTAATGAAAGATTCATTTTTCTGTTTTGAAAGGAAATGTCATTTCTTAGAAAATAACATTTCGTGAAATGAAAATTTCTCTGGACATGATATCTAAAACAATATAGCCTTTGGTTCCCTCTTTATAACCCAGGAAAATTCCTTTTCGTGCTCTAGAAGAAAATTTGGATCTATGAGCATTCAAAGTACTAGCATAGCACAGACAACCGAATACCTTTAAATGGGACAGAGTAGAAACCCGATTGTGTAAGACTTCATATGGTGTTTTATCAGAAAGTAGAGGAGTGCTCAGTCTGTTTATAATATGGACTGCATGAGATATACAGTAAGACCAGAGATTCAATGGGAGATATGCCTGGAATATAAGTGCACGTGCTACATTTAAAATATGTTGGTGCTTTCTTTCAGTGACACCATTTTGTTGTGGTGTTTCTACGTATGCTCTCTGATGCGATATACCCTTTTATGAGAAAAAAATCAGGCATAATGAATTCTTTGCCATTATATGAGCGAACAACCTGAACACGATGCTCAAACTGATTCTCAACCATATTAATGAAGGATTGCATATGACCTTTAGTCTCTCCTTTTGAATTCATCAAAACAGTTCATGTGAATCTTGAAAAATCATCAACTATAGTTAGAAAATAATGATGATTATGAATAGATGATATGCCAAACGGTCCCCAAATATCAACATGCAATAAAGCAAAGATACGAGTAGACTTGCTAACACTGCAAGTATAGGGTAATCGTCTTTGATGTGCAAACTGGCATACATCACAAGCATGACTATGATTACTATCAACATAAGGAAAGTTCTTATGTATATGTTTTAAAACGTTTTGGGAAGAATTCGCCAAATGAAAATGCCACAATACATGGGCTGGAAATTCATCCTTATTTTTATATTCAGTACTATTACAGTAAATTAGTGATTTCTCCTTTTTACTATCACTTTTATTCCAAGCTTCAACGTCATCTGGTCTCTCAGTTTTCATAACAAACAGCCTATTGTGCCTCTCAGCTGTACCAATCATCTGCTGAGTAGGCACCTGTTTTATCCAACAAACAGATGCATGAAAAATGAGTACACAGTTAACTGAATTAAGCAACTGATTCACAGTTATCAAATTGACAGAAAAATCCAGAACATATAGTACGTTATCCAATATGAGAGATGAAGAAATAGAAATACTCCCAGATTGTCTAGCATATACTTTTGAACCATTGGGAAGCGTGATAACAATTGGCTTAATTGACTTCATAGTAGAAAACTGATCTTTATCATAGGAAATATGATCCATGGCACCAGTGTCCAGGATCCATAATAAAGATTTCTTACCAGTATTATTTGCATCAGCTGTCAAGGTTGTGTTGGTAGTTTGAACCAGGTTCGAAGAATGTGTGTTATCTTCATTAGGATTATGATGTTCAAGAAGTCCAAGAAAATGCTGATATTGATCCTGTGAGAGCATAACTCCTGAATTCTGATCTACAGAAGATTCCTCATTTAGATCTTGCATAACTGCATTCACAGAGCGTGGATTCCTCATGTCTTATACCCTGGAGGATAGCCATGTTTTTCAAAACATGTATCCACTGTGTGATTGACTTTTCCACAGTGTGTACATAGTTTTGTATTGCGTCCTCTTCTTCTTTGTGAAAAAGAGCCTCGAGTAGGAGCTCGATTTGAAATGAAGACTTTCGATTCAGCAAACATATCTACTTGTGAATTCGAATTTATCTGGCGTTCTTGTTGAGAAACAAGTGCAAACACCTTATTCAGATCTGGTAATGGCTCCATGAGCATTATCTGCGAACGAACTTGGATGAATTGTTCATTGAGTTCTTTCAAGAGACGTATGACTTGGATCCTCTCTCTTGTTGCACGTACTTCTACCATTGCACCACAAGTACATGAAGGAACACATCTGCATGCCGGTAATGGTTGGAGAGTTTCCAGTTCATCCCACAGTGACTTCAGTTCAGTAAAATAATCTGAAATTGAGCGATCTCCTTGTTGTAAACGAAATACATCTTCAAGGATCTCAGCAATTCGAAAAACACTAGATTGAGCAAAATGCTGCTTCAAATCATTCCAGACATCTGAAGTGCGTTTCATCCACATAATCAAATTGATGATTGAATATGCAATCGAACGATGAATCCAAGAAAGGACCATGTTGTTGCAACGTTTCCATACCGGATAAAGAGGATCAATAGCTTCGGGTGCATTGATCATGCTATCAACAAAGCTAAGTTTATTCTTGGAAACTAAAGCCATGCTCATTGCTCTACTCCAGTATGATAGTTCCTTCCATTCAATGAGGAAGAAACTAGAGCTAAAGATGGTGATTCACTTGGATGTAGAAAGTACGGATGTGATGGATTCGTGAGGTATTCTGGAAAAGGGTTCTGGTTTTGGTTTGCCATTGTGAATACTATTTTGCAGTAACAAGAACGATGAGAAAATGCAAGAAAATAGCGAGAAAAGGGAAGAAACTAGCAAGAAAAATACCAGAGCTCTCTTCAGAGCTCTGATACCATATTACAATTTGAATCCATGAAAATGAATAGAATCTGAAAAACTGTATTGATACTGAAGCTTGCTGATATTTATATCAGCATGAATACAAAGAATATGAACAAAAGCTATCAGTTAGATACTAACAATCCTACTAACTGAAAAAGGGTCTAAGCTAACAAACTAACAAAAATAACTGCTCAGATAACAAGAGTCAGTTAATACATTACAACTTGATTAAATTAAAAAATTAACAGTAACATTTCTTGACTCTAGTGCATCAAACCAAATTTCTGGTAATAGATCTTTATTTATTTCCCTTTGCACTTTTGGTTACGTGCTCACTATTACTTTGGCTAATGGTTCATTGGTCAAGTCTAAAGGGATTGACACTTTCCTTCTTTATCTATTTATTATGTGCTTATTGCCCCTCATTCTCCTTTCAACCTCCTTTCCACTAGTCGCTTAATCAAATCTCTTGATTTTTTTGTTTCTTTCATTAAAGACTATAATTTTGTACGATCGGAGTTCAGTGCAAACAATTAGCACTGGATTGGAGTCCCATGACCACTATTAGCTATCATTATCATGTGTGCTACGCCATGGATTCTCCACTTACTATTCATGCTTGTTTGGATCATCCTAGTCCTACTGAGCACCAGGAAATGGTACCACATTTATCTAGCTTATCTAGTTTATCTTATGATTCTTATTAATATGGGAAACATACTCATAGTACTTTTCCCAATCGAGTAAATCGTTGAGCTACGTCTTCTTTTGCTTTAGTATATTCAAATGTTTGGGGTCCTAGTCGTACTAACTACACTATAGGGGCTTAGTTCTTTATTATTTTTATTGATGATTACTCATGATGTACTTGATCATTTTTAATGAAAATTCATTCGGAGTAGTTTTCTATGTTTTAGTTTTTTTATAATGAAGTCCCTTCTCAGTTTTGTCTTCCTATACGCACTTTCCGTAGTGATAATGCTCATGAATATTTATCCCATCAATTTCAAAAAAGAATTTGCATCTCACGACATTCTTCACTATAGGGGTGTTCATCAACAATTCAAACCGATTCAAACTGCGGTAACTGAACTGAAAAATTGATAACCCAATTAACCGAAAACTTAAAAAACAAAACCGAAAAAATCGTAAATTTTAATTAGATTTGATTGGTTTTTGGTTTGGTTGGTGAAAATCGATCCAATCAAAACCGATCCAATATATTAATTCCCCTATATCTACTTGGGTCTTTCTCCAATCATAGCCCAAAAAATTCTAAACCCAATATGTAAGAACTTGCATCGCTAAATAATTAATTAAACAACATTATCGGTGCAGGAGCAAGGAGTTGTTAAAGATTATGCATAATTATGATAAGAAAATTATGTAAAAAGTCGAATAATGCTTAAAGTCATTTTTCTGATGAAAAGTGCAGATACAGATTTTGCTTCAGGTATAAATGCGTATCAGTGAAGTGTTCCATAAAATTATAATAAAAATATGATAATTCCTAGAAAAATGTCTAGGTTAAGAATATGAAGTTTGGGAGTAAAATAATTAGTGAAGCTATTGGAACTAATACCAATGGAGTAATTAAGTGCACTTATAAATAGAAAATGCACATAACCCTAGGTCAGATTTTACAAGTCTACATAGTGTTCTCCATTGCTTCATGGCTGCCCAAAATACTCTCATATAGTTTCCATAGCTTTCTATGCAAGAAAAACTCCAAAGACATCATTTTTACTGTTGATTCTTCATCTTCCACCTTATAAACACTTGAGAGGAAGCCTTGTGAGGAAGAAAGACATAATCTTTGAGAGCTGTAGCCACTATTTTGAGAGGTTGGTGGGCTGTCCTCTTGGTTGAGTGGTGTAGGATCCATTTTCCTTGCATTTGATGCTTCAAGAAGTCATTTTGTGGAGGAAAGAACCTTACTTGTGAACCAAATTCATGGACTTATGGTGGTAGAACTGTAGAGTGGTGTAGAGAGCTCCAAGATCACTTCTTTTCACTGTTTTGGAAGCTTGGGTATATGCTCCAACCTTTTCTCTTGAGTTTCTATGTAAAAGATTGAGTCTTGGCATGTTAGATGAGAAGAATAAGTAACCACATAATCACTAGCTTAAATGTGTTTAAAAATGGTAGTTTGAACGTCTGATAACGTTAAAAATGGAATCTTGAAAAGATATCTTCGCGAAAATGCAAAACTGGATTCTGTCGCAAAATATCCAGATATGATATCTGGATATGATATCTGAATATGGATATCCGGATATTGGGTCTGGGTATCTGGATATCCAGATATGGACCGTGAGATATCCAGATATGTCCCCGAGGAATATCCGAATATTATGGGAAATTCATATTTTGAGCTATTTTGTCCAAACAGAACCGTGGGTTAAGTTCTGGACCCTTAATTGGTTAGTATGAACCTCTGTAATAAATTAACTAAGTCAGAAACTATGATATTGAATGCTTATGGCTTTGAGAGAAGCCTACGGTCACTAAACGAAAAATGAAACGTTGTCCTAATGCAATGAACTTCTAGACTATGAATATTGATGATATTTTTGGTATAAACATGTGTGGACTTCTAGTTGGTATTACTAGCTTGACAAGTAAGCTTTCGTGTCCTAGATTTTACCCATTGATGGTTCCACCATATCTCATAGAGGGATGGTCTATATGCATGATGTGTTTTCTAAAAATATGTGAAGAATATTTGGTATGCTGTTGAGCCATTTTGTGAGTGCAAATGCCATATGTTATGTATGTGGGGTGTTCCACCCTAGACGGTAATCCCTGAGTATATTAGGCACCTACAAGATGGTAACTCCGTGGGTGAGGTACAGGGGAGGAGCCTTGTACTGTGGGTTACAGACGTGCGTAATCCCTACCTTTTATTCTCTGGCAAGTAGGATGCATACACACGTGACATAGACATATGCTGCATTGCATCGATATTTGTCATTATACTGTTGTTATCTTTTTGAACTAATATTGCACATGTAAGTGAGCTTGGGTGGAGAGATCCTTGAGGAACCCTTGCCTTACTGAGATTTCTTGTTAGAGATCTCACCCCGTGTGGGGCACATTTTCAGGTACAGGTGTTCTTGATGCTGAGACCTCTAGTGACAGGAGGCCGAAGTTGAGCTTATATTATGCATGCTTCTGTGTTACCATATTTGTATATGTTTCTGCCTTGTTATTTTTATATGGCTATTGTACTTGAGACATGATTTGACTATGTTGTCTGATTTGGTGAGCATAAGGGTTGTCCATGCCACGTTAAATAAGCTGTGTATATTTTAGACTGGAGTTGTAATATGGTATCATGATTTGTCTGGTCTACATGTTGTAGTTCCATGACTTGATACTTATTTATGTTATGAGGTTATTCAATTTAGTTATTTATTACAATTTACATACAGGCGACTTTTGAAAGAGAATCACTGAGTTAATATAATAAGGTTCATAATTGGAAATTTTAGCTTCCGCATTTATTGAGCTGCGCTTATTACCATTCATATGTTTAATACACCGGGTGCACACGAGGTGTTACACAAGACCCATTAACCCATCAGCTAAATCTAAGAAAAAACCTAGTCACATCACATCAGCAAAATTTTGTCTGTGTAGAACTTCAGATCTCATTGCCCAAAAAAAATAGATTATCGTTTACTGATGCTTTTGTATTTAAAAAAAAATAACAAAGTCAATACATATAAAAGATATATTATTTGCACAATAATAATTACACAAATTTAAGACTTTTCAAAAAACCAAAAATAGATCCCAAATCGAAAAAAATTGGATTGCATTGGATCGGATTTGAAAAAAATCCAAATCGAATGGATGATTACATGATCAAAACAAAGGGATTGGATCATATGAATTTTGCTTACAAAACCGATCCAATCCAGATTGTGAAGACCCCTACTTCACTAGACATCTTACTCCCATACCTCTCAAAAAAATGATGTTGCTGAAACTACTCAAACCTTGTTACTTTATGGACATGTACCGAACTATTTTTAAGTACCTCACTCTATCTTATTTCCTCATCAACCGTTGCACTTATTAACCCCTCATATTTTTGTTTCTACTTATTTTGTTCATGATCTTAGTCTTGGTCGTGATATGTTATCTGCAAAGTCTCATAAATGTGTTTGTTTGTGTTATTCTCACTCACTAAAAGGTTATCATCGTTACTCTCCCACTCTTCATTGATATTTTATGTTGGCAGATGTTACCTTCTTTAAGCTTATGCCATTTTTTGGTTCTACCTCATTTCCTAGTGACTTTGCTCCAGTATCAGTACCTCCTATTCTATTTGAATATAGTCCGTTATTACCCCCCTACACCTCTTGCTTCTACTAACTCCGCTTTAGATCCACCCATGCCACAAGACACTAACACTATTGTTATTGAGGCACTTGTAGACTCTCTTTCGGTGTCACCTCTTCCTATGGCTTCGGCCCCATTTGCTGATATTGTTCTACCTATTGCTCTCCACAAATGAACTTGTACTTCTCAGCCTCCACCCGGGTACATGTTTAATCTGAGTTATCATTGCTTTTCTCCTACACATTTTGCTTGCCTTTTGACTATCTTTAGTGTTTATTCTTATGTCTACAGGTGATATATTATACCATTCTAGATGGAGGCAAGTTATTATTGATGAGATGAGTTCCCTTCTAGCAGTGGTACTTGGGACCTGGTTTGTAAGAACCCGCACCGTTAAATTAAGAAATTAATTAACATAATCAAATAAATTATGAGTTAAAAGATAAATTCCATAATTAACTCTAATAATTATAAGAAGGCATAAATAATTATTGTAAGTGATTAATAACGTTGAAAGTCTTTTTTCTGACGAAAAGTGCAAATACCGATTCTGCTCCACGGTATAAGTGTGTACCGATGAAGTATCCCGGAAAATTATGAAAAGTATGTATATATCACTAGAATAATATCTAGGACTAGTATAACAAGTTTGGAGTCGAAATAATGAGAATTGGAGTCAGAACTGATATCGGCTACGTAAAAGCGCGTACCGGCAAAATGCTGCGAAAAATAAAATAAAAATATGACGAATCTTAGAAAATGGCTAGTTTCAGAATCCAAAGTTTGGGATTTAAAAGATAAGCGGAGCTATTAGAGCTAATACAGTGTGATTAAACTTAAACGACTATAAATATGGAGTTACACACAACCCTAGGCTGATTTTGATCAGCTCTATGTGCCTTTTGTGCCTCCATTTCTGAGCCTTTGGTTTTCTCACTTGCCACCACCATTCTTCTTCAAGAACAAGCCCAAGGGATCACCTTTCTTCACTTTCTCTTCATCAAAACTCCATAACTTTGTGTGAGTTGGCCTTGGAGGGTGTTGAGTGCTTCATAGCTGAGTGTGAGCTTCTGAATTGGTGAGGTAGGGGCTGACTTCTTGGTTAAGTGAGGTGTGGATCATTTCGTTGGTAGTTAAAGCTTCAAGAAGCCATTTTTGGTAGCCAAGAACCAAACTTTGATGGTCAAATTCGTGGACCCTTGAAGTCAGAATATTGGGACTGACTTGTGAGCTGCATGAGCACTTATAGCTTCTGTTTTGGAGCCTTTGGGTATGTTCCTTACCTTCAGGTTCAGGTTCAGGTTCGGCTTCAGGTTCAACTTCTTTCTTCTTTTCAACTGGTGGCTATTCCACAGGCTGAATCACAATCCCACTTCTTGTGACAATTGCATTACATTGTACCTTTGGATTCGTGTCGGTGTTACTTGGAAAGGTGCCCTGAGTTCTTTCAGTGAACTGCCTTGACAGCTGACCAATTTGAGTCTCCAAGTTCCGGATTGAAGCTTCTTTATTCCGGAATGAAGCTCTTGTTTCATCTCTGCAGGCATCTGCATTTTGAATGTAATCGGATGTTGTCTTGGACAACTGTACAAAAGCCTTCCCCCACTCTGATGTGGTGCCTTGAGGTTGTTGTTGCAATGGCATAGGAGGATTCAACTGGTAGTTTGACTTGTAACTTAACCCAGGGTGTTGGTTATTATTTTTCCACCCTTGATTACCATATTGATTCCTTCCTGGATTGTTCGAGTTCTTTTGATCATACCAGAGTGCATTGACCTCTGCTGGTTGCTTTTCCGTGTTACTGATGTATTCACAATCCTCAGTTGCATGAGCCTCCTGACAAATATCACATTTAATGTTAGCATTAGAAACAGAAGAAACTTGAGAAAGATTAAATTTCTTATTAAGGGCATCTAATTGTTCTTGTTGTTTCTTGTGCATTTGTAGCATTTGTTCATTCTGGGCTAAGAGTGCATCATAACCTTCAAGCTTCATGATCTCTGATCTTCTTGGTGCAACTGGAGCAGGAGCATTGTCAAATTCTTGAGATGCTAGTGATTCCAACAATTCAAATGCTTCCTCAGGAGTTTTTGTTTTCAATGAGCCTCCTAAAGCGGCATTTACCAATGTTCTTGTGTTGGCTGTCATCCCTTGGAAAAAGATTCTTGCCTTCTCCCATGCTTCAATTCCGTGTTGAGGACACTTTCGGAGTAATCCTTTGAATCGTGTCCAAGCCTCGTACAAAGATTCGCTTTCTTTTTGTTCAAAAGCTGTGATCTCCGCCTTGAGCCTAGCCATCTTTGAAGCTGAGAAAAATATGGCCAAGAATTTAGCGGCTAAGTCATCCCAACTGGTTATGCTTCCTTCAGGTTGAGACTGCAACCAATCTCTTGCTTCATCTTTCAGTGAGCATGGGAATAGCCTGAGTAACATAGCATCACAAGAAACTCCATTTACTTTTAATGTATCACAGTAAAGCAAAAAGTCATCAAGATGACAATAGGGGTTCTCTGTGCTTCCTCCAGCGAAATGTTCTTTTTGAATCAGTTGCAGTAATGCTGGCTTCAGTTCAAAGTTGTTAGCCTCTATGTTGGGTCTAACAATGCTCGCTGTCTGTGGAGCTCGATCTGGGGTCATGTAATCCCCCAACGTCCTTCGAACAATTTGATTGTTGTTTTCTGCCATTGGTTCTTCCTTAGGTTCCTCTTTTGGTTTTTCCTTTGTTTCCGTAGAAGTTGATGCTATTTTTGTTTCTTTCGCTTTCTTTGCTTTTGCGTCTTTCCTAAGTTTCCTCTCTGTCTTTTCTATCTTAGGATCAAACTGCAAGAGTCGCGGGTTAGAAGTACCTCACATAAACTAAGAGTTGAAAAGATGTGCAGAAAAATAGGAAACACAAAACAAAAAATAGAAAAGAAAAGAATGCAGAAAATTAAATATGCAGAATTTTTGTATGCAGAAAATGTTTTTATGGTATGCTTAAAGTGCAGAAAAAATAAACGTCCAATCTAAAATTTAATTAGTTACTTATAATGTTGAAGAATTCAATCCCGGGCAACAACGCCAAAACCTTGTTGCGACTCGGCAAGTGCACCGATCGTGAAAGTAATAAAGTGTACCGGAGTACAAGATCGTTCCCACGAGGATTAGAATTTCAAGCACTTGTTCACTAATTGCATTTTAGTTGGACAATCAAAGGTTTGGTTTGAGAGAATTTAGATAAAGAGAATTTTGGTTCAAAGAACTTAAAAGTAAAAACAAGTAGAATCATGCAGTTATGAAAATTCAGAATTAAAAGAATGAATGAAGATGATGTTTGATTAAGATTTAAAACAAGCGTAGTTAAGGTTTCGACTTCCTCCAATATCCTCAATATGTTATGAATTAAATAGCCAAGAATCTGTTTGTTAATATATTGCTAATCAATTCTATCTGAGTTAATTACGGCTCTATTCCTTGTTACCATAAAGCTATATAATCTTGAAAGAACTCTAGTTCCCCGATTATTCCCCAAGAAAACATGCATTAAGATCAAGAATTACAAGATTGCATAATTACCCTATGTCTATTCCTATTCCTAGATCACAAGGATTATGATAAATTATCAAGTCAAGGTTCATGCACCAACATCCCTATTGTCATACAATTCCCCAAAATCATTCTATAAGGAACAAACTCATAGAAAGCATTAAAGACGGATAATTTATTCAATTATAAAAAGAACAGGATTCGGAGACAAATTAATTCATAAACATAAAGATTCAATTGGGTTCCATATACCCTTAACTACATAAAAGACTACTCTAGCATACTGAATTGAAAACAAATAATAAAGAAAAGAGAACCCCAAGCCTCCATTGGTGTGATGTTGACTTGGTTCCTCAGTGTTCCAGCGCTCCGCAACAGGATTCCTCCTTCGAGCTCTTTGTAATTGTCAATTGGTTTCTGAATTGGTGTATGAGTATTGGTCTCAAGCTCCTTATTTATAACCATAGGAGTTGTATACATCATTAAATCTCCCAATGAATCCATATCAGATTTCTATTTGATTTCATCTTTGTTTCCCTTTTGCATGTAATATCTTGGAGATTTGGTTGATGAATTAGAGCTTCAAATCTTTGTTGTATCTTCATCATATCTTCCCATTGTAGTTATATCTTATTTCAAATCAAGGTTGAGGTGTTTCTTCTTTATATCTTCATGGAATCTGTTGCATATCTTGATCAAATCTTTCCTGGAGTTGGCTTGACCGTGTATGGACGTTTTAGCGTGCTGTAGCGCGCTAAAACGTTCTTGATGTGTATTCTTTTCTGCCTTCACACATGTTGGTGTCCAGTAGCACGCCAAAACGTGCTCTTCGAATGGTTTTGGTTTTTTTCTGGACGTTTTGGCGTGCTGTAGCGCGCTAAAACATTCTTGATGTGTATTCTTTTCTGCCTTCACATGTTTTGGCGTGCTGTTGTGCGTCAAAACGTTCTCTTCCAGGGGGCAAAGGTGTTTTTCTTCTTTTTGTGCGTTTAAACTTGCTTCATAGACGCAAAAACGTTCTCCTTTAGCTGGTATATAGTTGAAATCTTGCTTTCTTGTGACTTCAACTCACCTTGATGTCTTCCTTTTGTTCCAAATTACCATAATTGGTATCAAAAACCTTGTAAATCAGCATTATGACAATCATGTTAGCAAGATATTCAATTACTGTAACTTTACAGCATAAAACCCTAATTTCCATGCAATTCATAACATATATCAATCATAATTAAGCCTAAAAACATGGTAAACCAAGGGTTTATCAGCATGCCTTTATGAATGAGATGAGGGCAGATAGGGCTCGGAACAGGAGGGATGATTCTCCTCCACATACGGTTACGAAGACTCACACCCGTACGCCATCTGTTACACCTCACCCGGAGGGGAGTGGTGCTAGTCGTCAGTCTGGTGAGGCTAGTCACCACACTACTGATCCTACTTATATCCCAGAGCCTTCTATGGATCCTTCTGTTGTTGCTCAGTTGTCTGGGGTTGCTGGACAAGTATTTGTTGGTACTGATGAGCAGAGGCTCATTTCTTTCAGAAAGCATAAACCACCAGCATTTCAGGGGTCAAGGGACCCAAAGGTTATGACTACCTGGTTGATGGGCATGGAGAAAATATTCCAGGTTATAGGGTGTCAGGATCCCCAGAGATTGTTGTATTCTGTTTATATGTTCGAGGGAGATGCCCACTAATGGTGGTATAATACATCTCAGCCTTTTACTATTCAGGGAGAAGAAATTACTTAGGCTTTATTTGAAAGACTATTTCATGAAGAGTATTTTCCCAAGGATGTTCGGGAAGCTAAACAGGGTGAGTTTGAGAAATTGGTACAGGGTACCATGACTATTGATGCATATATGGCGAAGTTCAATGAGTTAGTGAAATTTGCTAATTATGGGGGTGTGCTGTCGACTCCTGAGTTTCTGTATGCTAAATTTTAGAGGGGTCTGAATGAGAAAGTTGCAAAGATGATGTCAAATACTGCAGTGAGGAATTTTGCAGATCTAGTGACCCAGTGCAAACGAGTTGAAAGTTTTTATAGCAGATATCCGAAATCTGGTTCTTCAAGGACATCTGGTCCTCCAGGTAATAATAACAGAGGTGGCTACCATCAGAATAACAATAGAGGTGGGGGGTAGCAGGTAAGGCAGCCTTCGGGGCAGTTCAAGAGGGGTGGTGGTCAGAGGAGCGTATTAAATGATAGAAATTCTAATCCTAGATGTGACAAGTGTAAGAGGTTTCATCAAGGCCCGTGTACTGTGGCTCCAAATGCTTGTTTTAAATGTGGTAAAGTGAGGCACTATGCCAATAATTGTTACAGTAATACTGGGCAGGCTGCGAATCTGCAGGTCTTGCCATCTGTTCCTACAGTTGGGCGTGTTTACACTACAAATTTGCAGCAAACAGAGAAGGCACCTAATCTGGTTAAAGGTGTAATTTTTATCTCAAATATTGATTTGTCTGTGTTGTTTGATTCGGGAGCTACGCATTCGTTCATGGCAGAATATGTTGCTAAGGGTTGGGGTTAAAAGTATCACGGATGATTCCCCCTATGCGTATTACTACTGCTACAGGAAAGGTTAGTGATTCCTCCTTTATTTGTAAAGAGGTCGGGTTTGTCTACGAAGGTAGGGGCTACATTATTGATTTGATTATCTTGCCCCTGGCCTCTGTTAATTTGATATTGGGCATAGATTGGTTGTCTCAAAACTGCGCAATGATTGATTGTTGCGGCAAGAGGTTAATATTGTCTCATGAGAAGCCCTCGGTTACTCCATCTCCTTTTTTGTCTATGTGTCAAGCTGTTAAAGCCTTGAAGGCTGGAGATCAGGGTTATATTTTCTTGGGTGGATTGGTGGGTGGTAAGGAGATTGAGATTTCTACTATTCTGGTGGTTAATGAGTTTGTGGATGTGTTCCATGATGAGATACCAGAATTTCCACCTGAGAGAGAGATTGAATTCTTGATTGAATTGTTGCCTAGTGTGGGGCCTATTTCCTTTGCTCCATACCGGATGTCGCCACTGGAGTTGGCTGAGTTAATGAAACATATTGAGGAGCTGTCTACAAAGGATTTTATCAGACCGAGTGTGTCTCCGTGGGGAGCACCAGTAATCTTTGTGAAAAAGAAGGATGGAAGCATGAGACTATGTACTGACTACCGGCAATTGAATAAAGTTACAGTTGAGGGGTGCCTGTGTGTTTTCTAAGATTGATCTCTGGTCCGGATACCATCAAATTCGGATTAAGCCGGAGGATGTGCCTAATACGACATTCCGTTCTAGATATGAACACTACGAGTATCAGGTGATTCCTTTTGGGCTTACTAATGCCCCGGCGGTGATCATGGACTATATGAATCATATCTTTAAACCGTATTTGGATCAGTTTGTAATTGTGTTCATTGACGATATCTTGATCTATTCTAAGAGCAGAGAGGAGCATAATGAGCATCTGAAGACTGTATTGTAGATATTAAAGGATAAAAAGTTGTATGTGAAGCCGTCAAAGTGTGAATTCTAGCTATCTGAGGTCCAATTTCTGGGCCATGTTATTTCTGATAGGGGTGTTGCGGTAGATCCGAATAAAATTGATGCTATTATTGACTGGGAATGACCGAAACTTGTTACTGAGATCCGGAGCTTTCTGGGTCTTGCTGGATATTATCGAAGGTTTATTAAGGGGTTTTCCACAATGGTGCTACCATTGACCCGATTGACACGAAATGATACTCCTTTTGTGTGGACCCAGGAATGTGAGAGGTATTTTCTAGACCTTAAAGAAAAAAAAAAAAAAAAAAGAGAAATTGACTACTGCTCCAGTGTTAACCCTTCCCGATCCGGAAGGTGAGTTTGAATTATACTGTGCTGCTTCCAAGAAAGGTTTGGGGTGTGTGTTGATGCAAGAGAGGAGAGTGGTTGCTTACGCTTCTAGACAATTAAAGCCTCATGAAGAGAATTATCCGACACACGATTTGGAACTTGCTGCTATTGTGTTTGCCTTAAAAATCTAGAGGCATTTTTTGTATGGGATGAAATTTGCTATATTCAGTGATCACAAGAGTTTGAAATATTTGTTTCATCAGAAAGAGCTGAATATGAGACAGCGGAGATGGGTTGAATTTCTAAAAGATTATGATTTTGAGCTGAAATACCATCTGGGTAAAGCTAATGTGGTGGTAGATGCCTTGAGTAGGAAGTCTGTTAGTGTGTCTCAGCTGATGTTGTGGGATAATGAAGTGATTGAACAATTCTGTGATTTGAAATTGACGGATGTCTTTGTAGGCAGGATGAATTTGAGCTTTTACTGGTGGAAAATGAATTACATGAGAAAATTAAAGAAATGCAGGTACAGAATGACAGTGCTAAGTATTTGAAAGGGCAGAGTGGAATATCTTTGAATGAACAAGGGTTATTATTGTATCAGGGCAGGATTGTTGTGCCCAAGGAGTTAGCAGAGGAGGTAATGACTGAGGCTCATAAGGGTCAGTATGTTGTACACCCAGGTGCCACAAAAATGTATCAAGATCTGAAAGCTAAGTTCTGGTGGCCTGGGATGAAGAAGGTTGTTGCTGAGTATGTGTCGAGGTGCTTAATTTGTCAGAAAGTCAAGATAGAACATCATAAGCCTGCTGGTTTACTTCAGCCGTTGGATATACCAGAGTGGAAATGGGAGAGCATCTCTATGGATTTTGTGGTTGGTTTGCCTCGGACTCAAGCTGGTCACAATTCGATTTGGGTGATAGTGGACAGGCTTACGAAGTCTGCACATTTTCTGCCAGTGCGAGTGGACTTCTCTACGAAGAAACTAGCTAAGTTATATGTGAAGGAGATTATAAGGCTCCACGAGATACCGGTTAGCACTTTTAGTGATCGGGACCCGCAATTCACTTCTCGTTTTTGGGGAGCCTTGCAGCAGGCTTTTGGCACTCAGCTGAGGCTGAGCTCTGCGTATCACCCGCAGAATGATGGTCAGACTGAGAGGACCATACAGACACTTGAGGATATGTTAAGAGCTTGCACATTGGAGCAGGGTACTGCTTGGGACAGGTATTTATCACTGGTGGAATTCTCGTATAATAATAGTTTTCACTCCTGTCTAGGCATGACACCGTATGAGGCATTGTATGGAAGGAGATGTCATACTCCTGCTTGTTGGACTGAGGTAGGTGATAAAGATAGATTTGGGCCAGATTTTGTGCAGGAAACTACAGCACAAATAGAAATGATCAGAGAAAAACTTAAACAGGCACAGAATCGACAGAAAAGCTACTATGATAATAGACAGAGACCGCTGGAATTTGAAGAAGGTGATTATGTATTTGTGCGGTTATCTCCAGTTACGGGTGTTGGACGTGCATTGGGCGTGAGGGAGCTGAGTCCTCGTTTTATTGGGCCGTATCAGATAATGAAAAGAGTGGGATTAGTGGCCTATCAACTTGCCTTGCCCTCACAGTTGTCAAATTTGCACGATGTTTTTCATGTATCGCAGCTGCAGCGTTACATTCCGGATGAATCACATGTGGTGATACCAGATGATATTGAAATTCGAGAGAATTTAAAGACTCCCGTAGGTCCTATTGATGTTCTCGACCGCAATAAAAAAAGCTTAGAAGCAAAGTTATTCCAATGTTAAAGATTCAGTGGGAGGGACGTACACCTGGGATAATGAAGTGAAACGGGAGGATGAGATTCTCCGGTTGTATCCTGAGTTAGCGGACAGGTATGAGTTAATTTTGAGGACAAAATTCTAAAAGGTGGTGTGAATATAACACCTCGCAATTCTAAATTAAGTATTAAAATATTAAATGAGTAATTAAGTGAAGGATTAGTGAAAATTCTGAAATTACGCCAAAATACAAATAAAGGGCAAAATGGTAATTAGCCAACACGCAACTCTAGGAAGATAAAAAGTTGAGTAGAAGGTCTCAGATGGTAAAAATAACCCTAGAAATGGATTCAGAACGAAAAATTGAGTGGTTAGGCAAGTTTCAGAAAAATCAGTGAATAATGTTTTTACCGGGTAAAATACCGCGGTACGATTGCACCGTAAAACGTGCCGATGAGTTTTGAGCTCTAGGTTTGAAAATAAGTTATAAATGATTCATAGAGCTAGGAAATATAATTTCTGATGAAATTTGATG